ATATATAGTAATACTAGTTTCAGTCTATACAGTATCAGATATCTGCTTTCAGAAGTGATCTGTCACTCTTGTGGGAACTCTGCCAGAAACTTCACAAAGAAAGCTTACACTTTAACTTCATCTAGAAAACAATAAGCCTATACTCCTGCCAGAAAAAAAAACAAAAAACAAAAAACAAAAACCACACAACAATAATCAGATTTTATTAGATGTTCTGAATTACCTAATATGCTAAGACTGGGGTATTCCCACGTTCAAGTAGTTCATATGATGCTCATCAAACAAGTCATTTGTTTCCTAGAATCAGAATGCAAGAGGAAACTGTTTTAAGTACAGTAGCCATTAAAATACAAGCACACATAGACACACAAATGGTTTTGTTAATACTGTCACCCTTACAACACTGAATGAAGTCCAGCTTTCTGTACTGAGAGGAATTCCATCTAGTGTGGTCAGCTCTCTATCAACCTTGTTCAGTGTTCCTGCCCAGAGACAAGTGCTCTGTGACACAATTCATTTGAGCACAGCCTCTGCCCTATTTAGTTTTAAAGCCATCAATAAATTGCAAGTGGCCAGAACTTTAAGTTTTGTTCAGTTTTATTTTTCCCAAATAGAATTGTAATAAGTGTTTTTATAGGTAATAGAAGAACATGTAAATTAGCACACTGCATTCCCATTTTCCCAGGATAACAGTACTTCTATTAGCAATTTGAGAATGCATTTAGATAGTATTTATGAAACAGGAGCACAAAAACAAAGATGAGAAGCAAGAATTTAGAAGGTCAAGATAATTTACTAATCTAGGAAGCTTAGGATACAAAAAGGTGCAAAAAAAAATTAAGCAGTGATATTTAACAAAGCAGAACGCCGTACACTTCAAAAAGGACATCAAGTGCAGCAAAACAAGTGACAGTAATGCAGAAAAGGATCTGAGAGCATATAGCAGCTCTCTAATGTTGGGGTCAATGACATGGTACTCCTGCAAAAAGGGAACTGCTCATTATGAACTGTACTCTGCACTGTATCGAGAGGACTGCTACACACAAAGCAAAAAGCAATTATTCTGCTGTGCCCACAAATCATCTAGACTCTTGAGATCCTGCATGTATTTTTTTCTTAAATCTATCTTAAAGCATAATCCCCAATGGAACAATCTAGATAACAATTACATAACCTAACAACCAAAGGGCTAAAAGAATCTGGTTTGCTTTGCAAGGCAGAATGGAGGTGAAGAGAGTATGCAACAGATACCCTGGTCCCTTACCACCAAGATGTAATTCAAAAACAGTTTTAAATGATGCTGAGCTGGACTGTTCTTAATATCCACTGACTGCTTTTTACCTATTTGTAACTTAAACATTTAAAATGAAATATATACATTTTTTAAATAGTCCCATCCACAAGGTTAAACAAGAAAGGCACAGAAGGATGTAAATCACCATAGAACTTGGGAGAAACAAGAGGCAGGCCTCATAACCTGGGTAGCAGTATGCAAGGTGCAAGTCAGCACCTCCATCTGTAGTAACCCCATATTTCTACCCTACTACATACAAACCTGTAACCAGGTAAGTTATACTAAATCTGCACCAGCCTGAAATGCTTTGAAGGCTCCAGGGAGACGTCACTGTAACCTTCCAGTATTTGAAAGGAGCATATTAAACAGGAGGGGGAACAGCTGTTTACGAGGGTGGAGAGTGATAGGACAAGGGGGAATGGTTTTAAACTAAGGCAGGGGAGGTTTAGGTTAGATGTAGGGAAGAAGTTTTACACACAGAAGGTGGTGACACACTGGAACAGGTTGCCCAAGGAGGTTGTGGATGCCCCATCCCTGCAGGCATTCAAGGCCAGGCTGGACGTGGCTCTGGGCAGCCTGGTCTGGTGGTTGGCAACCCTGCACATAGCAGGGGGGTTGAAACTGGATAATCATCGTGGTCCTTTTCAACCCTGGACATCCTATGAATTAAATTCAGAGGGAATTTTTCCCTCACCTAAACAAATGTTTTTGAAAATGGTCAAATACAGTAGATAAAAACAGGAGTAACAGTATCTGTTATTATGCATAGTGTTATCAGGCATATACAATGCTATCTATAGCATTACCAAGTTCACAGGAATACAATTAGATGAACAATCAGAAGTGATTAGTACAAAAGAAAGAAAAACAACGAGCTGTTATTTTTATTTCTGAGTCACAACTAGATTAGGATAGTGTTTGCTTTTGGCAGCACAGACTGCCTTCCTCAGCAATCCACAGATGGGCTTTCTTCTCCTGTCAGAAAAAAACAAAAACAAAAAAAAAAAACCAAAAAAATGCCATCTGACGTTTTCATACCTGGTAAAGCTCAACCAGCAAAGCAAACTTTTGTTTAACACAACTGCTGATAATAGATATTCCAGTCTGTTGTCTTCAAGCAGTTCAGAGCAGCGGTGGGTTTCTACCCGAGATTACAAAGTGAATCATTTATTTCAGGTTAGCTTTAGCTATATTTACCTGAGCTCTGGTTTTAAGCCAGTGATTGTGCCAACCTGAATTACTGTATCCCATGAACCAGACAGCTGAGACTATAGAAATCATTCCAACCTAGAGCAGTAATCTAAGCTGCTAATAGGATCCATTTAAGTACAAGATGCATTTCCTTACCAAGATGACTGCTCATCCTTCTGCTAGACTAGCAGTAGATTTTCACCACTACTACAAAATGTATTTAAGGTGAAAGTGAACTGATTGGTAGACATGGAAAAGAATTATCTTAAAAAAGTAACTACTGTATTTTTATTTTTATTGCATGCTTGTGCACCATTTGTGCCTTCTAATAAGCCTCTCACCTCAGCAGTTATATCCTACAATTACTCCTATACCCATACAAATTCCCTGTGGCTATTGCTGAGCTCTACACAGATGTTGAAGGTCTGTCTACACAGAACACTTCTGGGACAACTGATCCCACAAGAATGACACCACCTGAACTGTATTCAGCTTGGTATTCTGACAATACTCAACTAGACCTCAAACCTTTGATTATTAAAACAAGATTTACATCTACCAAATTAAATTCGGACTCCTTGAGCAGATAAAAAAAAACAGGATGTGCAGCTGTATCAAAACTGCCTACCTTGCTCATACTAGTATGCGGTTTCACTTCTAAGAAAGGAAATGCATCTGAGAAGAAACATGACTCTGCAAGAGCGGTTTGATACCTGATGTGCAAAACAAACGTTTCCCAAAGGAGGTGTCCAGTTACTGCCAGCACCGGGAGCTTGCTGGTCATCAACCCAGCACTTCCACCTTAGGCAACACACACACTTCAAGCCTCACAAACAGGAAAATCTTCCTAAATCCGTGGAAGCCCAAGATAAAAGCAATAAGGTGTGTCCTTCCTACTAAGAACAAAACTCCATCTACATACCTTTTAATAAAAGAAAAAGGGCTACAGAACAATCTGTTTCCACAGCACTAACAATCAATTCTTTTCAATCCATACCTTGAAATTCTTCCATATCACACAAAGTTCACTTTCAGTTACAATCCCCAAAGATCCAAGTCATTTAAATGTGACAAAGTCAACTGTCTATAGCTACTGATGGCCCTAATACAGAGAATCTTAGCCCTTAGTATTTCACAGGATTCGACAAAATGACACAGAGAAATTCAAAGAGAAAATTGTTGAGGACAAATTGCAAACCTCATTCACCCACTTCACTTCTAGCTTCATCCCACAGCAGTAGGTAAGTCCCAGAACAGATACAGCAGGGGAGATGAGGTTTAACATTACTTCCTCTCACGAGCTGATCCAACTATTCTGTAACTGAAACACTGCTGCAACTCCTGCCATTTCAAGATTTCAAACCCACTGATCTATTGTTTCTTAAAAACAAAACAAAACACAGATGTCCACCTTGATTTCATCATACAACAAAATCTGTATAATCTTTCCAAACCAGCAATAAATCAATGCGTAATGTATCTATCTGACAGATCTCAGCGGAGACAATGTGCTGCCACAATACAGTATGTGTTTCAAATCTACAACAGCCTCCACATCTCAAATAAAAACACAGCAGAATAATGCACTGCTATCGTGCACCTTATTCTCTTCTTTACAGCAATTCTCAACAGAACTACCAAACAGAAAGGTTAGAGTTCTGAAAAACAATTAACGTACAAATAAATGCTGTGACTTGATATAATCATGTATGACACCACAGAAATTTGAGGCTATGCTTAGAGCATGCCATTTCACCCTGAGGCCTACTTTGAATAGAGGCATCACAAAAGCAGAACAGAAAAAGAGCATTACAAACACTTCCTCTACAGGTCCAAATTTACTGCAGAATGATTGAGCTCTCTCTCCACATTGTTATCCACACAAGTACAACTATATTCTACATAGTAACTCTAAGATGTCAGAACGGTTCCATCATCTCATGATTGAGATTCATACACTGCACAGAATGCCACACTGACCTCACCCCACAGAGCTGCACACTGACACTGCACAGCCATGCAGGGAGTTCTGAGGGATTCAGAAAGTCAGATAGTATGATGGGTA